AACATAAAAAACACAATGTCAGAAACAAAAATCAAAAAACATTTAAAAAATACAGAGGCAGTGACAGTGGAATTGATATTTAAATGTATGTATGTATATACAAAGCTTATACATACATATATATATACATACATCCATATATATATATACATACATGCATACATATATATATATACATATATATATACATATGCATATATATTCATATATATATATGATAACGTTTGTATTAAAAATTAAGCCTCCAACTGTGGCCAATCAGCCGTTAGTTGGGTTTGTCTGGTTCAGTTTGACCAATCTTGGAAGCTGTGACCCAGCTCAGGTCACATGGAAATTATCTCTCATTTGGAGATGAATTGCTATAAATCAGCCTTTGACTGAAAAAAAAGAAGAAAAAGAAGAAACAGCTTTTATAAAACTATACCCAGAACATTTATGTTCCTGATAGCAAGACACTTATTGAGGAACTGCACTTTGAGAAGTACTAGTTTTAAAATATGAAAAGTTTGACCTCATCTGTGAGAAAGGAGAAGTATAAAGTAGTAGTTTATAAGAACTATAAATAAAGGAACCTGTTGGTGAGCATGGTTCAACAACGCAGAACCAATAAAATGGAATATAAAAAAGTGCAATTTCAGTTCTGCTAAAATACAAATATATTGTTTTCTCACAGTGCTAGAAATGACCTCTAAGCTTCCCAGGCTCCCTAACTAAAGGCTTTCTAATTCATCATTTCCATCATCCTCCCACTAAGGTGCACCAATCTGATTACCTGTTGTAATATTTAAAAAATGCCAACCCTGAAAGCGCTGCAAATGTGTGGAGGCAAACACTTTAAGTTGGATAAAGATATTAACAAAGCATCTGACTTATTGACTAGTAGGAAAGATGTAAGAAGAAAAAAATCTTAAGGAGGTCCAAATAAAGACGTAACAGTTCATGAAAACTCACCCACTATGCAAATAAACAGTATTTGCTTGTGTGTGGAGTGTGTGCAGTTACAGAGAAAGGTATGCAAAAACCATATTTGCTTTTTATTCTTTTAAATTGTAATTTTAACTGCCTTTACTTGTAAGATCCTTTTATCCACTTACAATGTAGGCAAGCTCTGCTCCGGTGGCAATTAAATGGGCGCCATGTTTTTCTCTCCCACACTGTTTACATTTTATCACTGCTGCACTTTAAGAAATTGAAATGTCATGAAAACGACAGTGGCGTCGGATGTAGTTTGCCCTGAAATCGAAGGATTGACGGTTTAAACGCTGACTTTCAGTGTCGTTGTGTCCTTGAGCAAGACACTTCACCTGCATTATCCACTGATGGTGGCACCAGTGTACGGCAGCCTCGTTTCTGTCAGTGAGCCCCAGGGCAGCTGTGGCTACAATGCAGCTTTCCACCATCAGTGTGTGAATGTGAATGGATGAATGACTGAATGTAGTGTAAAGCTCTTTGGTAAAGTCTCCTGATTTGAAAAAGCGCTATACAAGTACAGGCCATTTACCATGAGAGCTGTACAAAACGAAATTTCGTGTTGCATGCACTGTGTATACAAAATTACCTGCCTACCTATAAAAGTTGATTCCAGTTGTATCTAAAGACTTTTCCACACAGGTGCAAATTATTCTAATACACATAAAATCCTGTTGCATTTGACTTTTTTTTCTAGATGGATAATAAAAACAATAGGTCCTCCTAATCGTCAATTATTCTGGTGATGTTTATGTAAGGCCTTCCTATGTGCTTGCCTCCATTTTCACTTACCTTTTGAGAGTCTGACATAGTGGAAAAATGGCAAAATCTTCTTTTGGAAAGTAAGCTTGTATGAGTGGAAGGACTGGTTTTTAAAAAAATTCACAAAAATCCTCCACTATACCTTTAATAACCTAATTTCTGTTCATTTTGAATATATATATATATATATATATATATATATATATATATATATATATATATATATATATATATATATATATATATATATAGAGATATATAAAAAGAGAAAAACAGACTCATTCAGGATCAGTTTTACATTTTCAGAGCTTTATTATTAAAAGAAAAGCTTTTACTGTGATACGTAAAAAAAAAAAAAATCATCACATTTATTTTTTTAATCGCCTTTTGAGCCACTTTCAGGCACACTGCGCCACACTGCCTTCACTGAACAGAAGTGACTCCATTACCGCTGGGAACAAATCAGGCCCGGATTCTTAACACTATTTAAAAAAAGAAAATAAAAACAAAAAAAGTAAAGCTTTGGGCTTCATTATATTTAATGACCTTTTTTTTTTTTTAAGGGTAGGCAATACACCTACGACATCTTGCGTTAGTTTTAGAAATGATTTTAGTACAATTAGAAGGATTAGATCAGAGGGAAGTCATGACAGCAGCTTATACTTGTCGTGGCTCAGCGAGAAGAAAATATGGATTCCTGTGACGGAGTTAGACTGAGTTAGAGGGTACCATAATGTAAATACTTTGGGTGCAGGCTACACTTTTATTCAAACACTTTAAATCTTTGCATGCCAGAGAGGAATGCATCTAAAACTGAAAAAAAAAAAAAAAAGAGGTAAAATGAAGTCATGACGTCCCGCTTGGTTATCAAGAAAAATCAGACCTCTGTGAGGCCGAAAGAGAAAACTGACAAGAAAAGGAATTGAGCTCATAAATAAAAACTTGGTTTTGTCTGCTGAGTGGAAAATGTCACTGACGGAGGGTGCGACCTTTGAGGAGCCACTGGAGCAAGGCCGATTGGAGGCTTCGCCGCAGGACGTGAGAGGCCAGGAAAGTGCCGGGCGTGTGGCCTCGTTGGGAGGACATACGGAGGATCGGGGTGGTTCTTCCTCACAGTGGGACGTGGCTGAAGAGGTACGAAACCGATTCGCCGTTGTGGGTCCTCCTGATCGCTTCAGCCAGGATCATGGAGATGTCGATGACCTGGTTGGAAACAACAAACTGAGCTGAGCTTGATCCTTTACATGCTACTCAGAAAAAAAATCATTACTGGCTGAATTTTAAGTAAACGATTCAGTTTCTTTCATTTTCCGTAAATAAAACAACGAAATCTAAAAAATCTCCAGCTGCTGCTTTTGATTTGGAAACAAAAACATCTTTGGTCATAAATCTAAACCCGGATCTTTGTCTAACCTGCATCAAAACTCATTCATTATCAGCCGGACTCACATAAAAACAGACTACAAATGACTTTAGATCCCCTCTGCAAACATAGATGATGATGTCACAGCTTTGTGAGCTTCTAATAGGTTAATACAGGGTTCTACAACCAGCGGCTTTTTAGATCTTCAACAATAGCTTTTATTAGTGGCTAATGCATGTAATATTAAACAATTTAATTCTTACTAGGTTTAGCATTTTTTTCAAAAGAACATTTCAATTTAAAGGTAAAGTGGAGGATTTTCTCAAATGTTTGAAAAGGCCTGCATTCACATGCACAATCCTGTATCCGCTCCAGAGAGGGGACGCCTATTAAACACGCCTATTGAACGCATGCACAAGCCCATTTCTCCTTGTGCACGCTCTGTTTACAAGTTGTTGCTTGCATCACTCATACAAGCTTACTTTCCAAAAGAAGATTTGCAATTTTTCCACTATGTCAGACTCGCCGCCGGTAAGTAAAAACGGGGACGACCACGTAGGACGGCCTTATGCAAACATATCACCAGACTGACTGACAATTAGGAGGACCGCTTATTTAGATAATCCACCTGGAAAAAGAAAATCTTCCACTATACCTTTAATTATCACTACAGAATAGGCCTGGGCAAAGAAATCAATTCAGTTAAATAATTCAATTTTTTTGTTGCAGGCAATTAAAAAAAATATATATAAATCAATGGGATTTTTTTTAATAACGGCACTTTTTTTACCTCCCCGGAGTATCTGTAGCTGCGGTATTACTCTCAGGTTGCAATTCGGCAAGCAACAGCATCACACGAAACAGCAAACATCATAATGGGGACTAGGGAATTGGGGAGTGGCCACCTAGAGGTAAAGGCATTGTACTTGGCCCCCAGAGGTTCTGAGTTCAAGCCCCACTCCCACAGACTGCCACTATGGGTTCCTGAGCAAGACCCTAAACCCCACACTGCTCCTCAAGGGGATGGGGTTAAATGCAGAGAGTTAATTTCTCCAGTTTGAGATCAATAAAGTTCATTTATTAATATCATAACTACAGATGAGTGAGAAATTTGTTCTCAAAAAAGAAAAGAAAGCAACTGCGGTTGTCATTGTGAGTTTCATAGCAACACCATCAATGTCGCTGACTGCTATGATGAAGTGTCCTTTGGCACTTAGCAGAATGCATTACTACCCAAACACAAGTTTAGTAGGAGGCTGCAGCTAAATTAACAAGCTGCAGCCAAGATGGCAGAAATGGCAGCGAAAATTAGCAATACGCATGGTTCCTGTCGAGTTTGTTTAGATGCAGTTGTATTAGAAGAAATGGGGCTGTGTATTTGCAGGCATATTTTAAAAAAAAAAAAACTCAGAAAAGGTTCCCGGTCCAGATAGCTAACAAGATAGATGCTAACAGAAGCCTGGCTGCATATAGCGCAGCACAGTAGTGAGGTTTCCCTGCATAGCCAAAGAAATGGTGCCCCGTTTTTACTTATTGCTTTCCTTAATAATTAGGGACAGGGGCGCCGTTTTAGATTCTAAGGGCCCTTGACTGAGGGGGGCCGAAAAGAAGAAGAAAAGATTTGTCCGGCTATATTTTTCAAAAATAAAAATGAAATCCAGCAGTAAAATAAATAATCTTCATGTTCTCTCTCATTTTTCAGCACTAAACAGTGAATCAAAGCATGAAGTTATTGACCCCCCCCC